TGAGCAGGGAGCCCGATGTGGGACTCGATCCCGGGACTCCAGGATCATGACCTGAGCCGAAGGCAGTCGCTTAACCAACTGAGCCACCCAGGCGCCCTACATCAAGTCTTTTAGACCAAGTCAGTGCCTAGACAGTTTGGGGGGGATCTGAAAGTTAACCTAATGAATATGATGGTGAAGAATGAATTAGAAGAAAGACACTGACTTTTATAGATTCAGGGGACCATGGAGTTCAAGGAAAGCAATTAGCACATTATTCTTCCCAGCTCCCAGAAGACAGGCATGGACTCTTCCTAAAAACACCCAGAGAATATCATGCCACAACTTTCCTGGTTAATATGTTCCAATGTGTATTAACTCTTACAGTTAGGGAAATTTTTTCAGTGTATAAACAAAAGTGTTTTGTTTAATCTGGGTATTAATGAATATTAATACCTGCTATGACATTGGCAGTGGATGCACAGGTAATCCTCGCACTGGCTCTTTGCCTTGCTTTTGCCTCTTTTAAAAGATATGTATATGGGGTATCTGGCTAGCTCAGTTGGTAGACTGTGCAACTCTTGAACTCAGGGTTGTGAGTTCAAGCCCCATGCTGGGCATAGAGTCTACTTTTAAAAATACATATATACAAATACAGTTGGGGAGATAACCAGTTAGGCTGGAATATTGGTGGCCTTTGGCCCTACAACATCAAGCATTACAGAATTGCTTCTTGTGCCTAATCCTCTGCATAACATTTCTGTGGGACATGCCGGGTGTCACTTATGCTGGTGACTCTTGGCATTGTTGCCTATTAGACTGCCAGAGTTAGAGGGCCTGATCTCAAAGCAGTGCTTGTTTCTTCCTGTCAGTCCCCTGTATGTCTGTTTTTGCACACATGTCATAGGAAGAACATGAGGAGCTATTTTGGAATTGTTTCTGTGTGTGGACTTAGCTTCTCTGGAATTTTAGGATGAATTTGAGAGAAGGCTGGAAGTCCTGTGTTGCTAGGGATGGGTCTTGAGAAAACTGTTTATTAGCTCGTTGCCACATCATGGTTAGATTTGTATCCGTGTGCTGTCAGTAGTCACTGGAAGCAGTGAACTCATCTTACTGTGATTTTGATTCTCAAATTGCTATTTTGGGAATACATGAACAAATGAATTTATACCTAATCTCCTGTCAAGGTATGGTTCTTGCAGAGATCCATAAAGAATTGGCTTTAGGTTCTTATCTTCAAATGAACACATTTTTACTTAAGAGTGGCCCATCATATTTCCTTTGAAGTTACTCCAGCTAGTACAAATCTTTCTAAAGGCTGGGATGCTTGGAAGGGAGTTCATTTTTCTACATAGTTTAGGTAATTCCATTTAATAGATTTTTTAAAGCAAAGGTGAGAGAGATCCTTGAGTAGGGAGGGTCCAGGGAATGAACTGAGTGGCAGAGTGACTTCTATGATCAGCTGAGATTGATTATGGTCATTTGGCCATGAAGACAGAGCCCTGACCTTGCCACATACCTTACCCAGCCCTTTCACCCAGTCCCCCCCAATGCAGTCAGTGCCCATGGGACACTGTGCCTGCTCCAGGGCAGTAGCATGGTGAGGTTAGCCAGATGATGGCCTTGAGCTAAAGTGTGTGTGTGTGTGTGTGTGTGAGAGAGAGAGTGAATTGTTTCTGTTGATGCTATTAAGTGGCTTTTTCAGGAAAATCTAGTGACTACTTTGAGTAAATTTAATTAGATTTTAATATAATGTATACAGCTGTGTTATAGACATAAAATGCTAGTCTGATTGGTAAGCGATAACTTCACACTTAAGATTTTCAAGAAAATGGATGGTTTAAAAATGGAGTCAAACACAGATTGGTAAAAGTATGAGTTAGGCACTGAGTATCACGAAAGCTCAGCTGATGAGGCATAGAGGAGCAATTGAGACCGTGCTACATGTCGGTTGTACACACACCTTTTTCTTTCACTTCAGTTTCCACTGGCTCCCTTGCTCAGCAGTATGCGCACCCGAATGCTACCCTGCACCCACATACTCCACATCCTCAGCCTTCAGCTACCCCCACTGGCCAGCAGCAGAGCCAACATGGTGGAAGTCATCCTGCACCCAGTCCTGTTCAGGTAAGGAGAAGCTCAGGTCTTGTAGAATTGCATCCTCATTCCGTTTACTGAGCATTTTCTTCAGTGCTGAGTATTGTGCTGGGTACCACGTTATCAAAACACCTCACACCCCTGCCTTGTGGAGGCAGCGTATAGCTAACTGCCCACTGTGCCCCTGGGATTTGGTTTTGGTTGTTACTAGGTTTTGTGTATTGTTTTGTTTTTTAAAGATTTTATTTATTTGACAGAGGAGAGACACAGCAAGAGAGGGAACACAAGCAGGGGGAGTGGGAGAGGCAGAAGCAGGGAAGCTGAGCAGCGAGCCAGACGCGGGGCTCGACCCCAGGCCCCTGGGATCATGACCTGACCCGAAGGCAGACGCTTAACCACTGAGCCACCCAGGCGCCCCTGTTACTGTTTTTAAGTCTTATTAAGATACATGTTGAGAATGAGGTGACTGAGTAAGTTCTAGAAATCATTGATTGAAAAATCTAATTTAACATTATATAGGGAATTGGCTTGGGACTTTTTTTTTTTTTACTTCATTTCTAACAATTGTACAACAGTTTTTTTTCCTATTAGCTGCTGCAGTCATGTTTGTTCACAGGGCAGTTAAGCATCTCTTTGACATCTTTCAGTTCCCTGGAGCAGCGCTGCTGTTCTACCTCTGCTTGGTTGAGGGCTTGCAACCACCACTTGCCCCCAGCCCTGCCCTTACTACCCTGTACATTCTCTGGTACTTGCCACTGCCCTTCCTCTTAGATGGGCCCAGGGGAGCCTGCTTTCATATGTGGAGTTCAGCTTTGTGTGTCACCTCAACTGCTTTTCATTCAGGAAATGGTTTTCTCACTTCTTTCTTGTCTCTTTGCAGCACCATCAGCACCAGGCCGCCCAGGCTCTCCATTTGGCCAGTCCACAGCAGCAGTCAGCCATTTACCACGCGGGGCTCGCACCAACCCCACCTGCCATGACCCCTGCCTCCAATACGCAGTCTCCACAGAATAGTTTCCCAGCAGCACAACAGACCGTCTTTACAATCCATCCTTCTCATGTTCAGCCGGCATACACCAATCCTCCCCACATGGCCCACGTACCTCAGGTAAACCAGCTTTAGCCAACTTTCTGTGAAGACCGAGTAGAATATGAAAGTTATCAGATAAGCAGCAAAGAGCAGATGCTCTGCAAGCTAGGAAACCCTGTGTGTGATGCCATTTGCCTGTCTCCCTTTTCCCACTCAAATACATGTGATCTGGCCCTAAATGAATGTTGGTGTGGTTTTGTAATGGGGTCAGTAAAGTTGCTGATTGGTCAGTCCTTTAATGTTTCGCATCTGAGACCTTAAAAATACCTCTGATTTTGGAATGCAACCCGATCCTTTCCTTCCTGTGTCTGCTTCGCTATGTTTATATAGCTTCACTGCTATATGTGTATACATAGTATATATATTCTTTCTCTTCCTCTCTTCCTCCCTTCCTCCTCCTCTCTCTGTCTCTCTCCCTCCTACTCCCCGCCTCCCCCCAATCCCTCTCTCATACACACATCCACACACACAAATCTGGCAGGGAGGTTGGGCTTCACAAATTCTCCGCTCTCTGAGGTGACTGCCCTGAGCCTGTCAGCTTGAATGTTAGTCACACGAGTTCCAGAGAAATCTCTCCACTTGATTTCCTTGTCTATCGGTACACCCGCTTTGACCATATGTTGTACTTCTTGAAAGGGCTTGGCCTTGTACATTGGTGCAGTGTAACTAGAAGCTGGAAGCACTCAGGTGTTCCCATTTTTCTTAAAGAGCAGCCTGGGAGGCTCTTTGGAGCTCACCTCCAGCGTAAGCCTCTCATGGTTGAAAGGTGTGGTTGACATCTTAGTGGTTGCTGGCTGCGTCAGCTGCTGACAAAGTCCAGTGCAGTCCAGGGCCAAGTTAGATTATCTTAACAAGGAGCTGCACTGAAGTTGGGCTCTAACACTGTCCTTGAGGCCCTCCCTGGAGCTGTTAAGGGTGAATTGGCTGTATTTGATGGCTCTTTTTGCTGCTTTCATAACAGAACTCTCTTAGGCAGGTGTAAGCTAGACTGCTCACTGAACTCCATTTTATGTTGAATAGTGCGCCACTGAGGCTCTGGCATGCTGGGGGCTGGAGATGCAACTCAGTTGGAGCTCTCTCTCAGAAGGCAACCTTGTAACTAGAGTTCCACAGCTCTGGGAAGTTTGGGTGTCCTCCTCTGCACAAGTGAGGGTTCTGTCGTGTGGCGCACTGCACTTGGATGATTTGCTTTTGATAGTGGGGAGGGGAGCCGGTTTGGTCAGGTGTGGGCCAGCATGGTTTGGCTGAATCAGGAGCTTCATGAGAGCGGGGGTCCTGTAGGTGGTTAGCAGAGGTTGGTGGCTAAGTAGATATGTGAATTTACATGTAAGTCAGGGTTCCTAAAACCTCACTTTTGTGTTTTTGTGTTGAAAGAGAAAAAGGTTAACACTTCTAGGGAAGTCCAGATATGCTATGGGCCCATTTGAATACGTAAGAGAGTAAAAACAGCATTTCATTCAAGGCTTATTGTGGTCTAGAACAGTGCACAGTATGGGAGGCAGGAAAGGGGGTCTCCTCCTGACCCTGCCATATCCCCCTGAGCTGGGATCCAGCGATTTGGGCTGGCTAAACCTTTTCCAACTTGACAGTGAGACCAGGTTGCACTCACTATCACTTGGTTTAGGGGCACGGGGCTGGCCCAGATAATTGCACATTACTCCTCCCCATTTCATTGGAGCTATTTACTGCAGCCCACTCCTCCTGCTCAGTCAGCGTATCTCTTAGAGTAAAGGGGCCCGACTGTCTCTTCTCTCGCTGCCCCGACTCATTCTTCACAGAGATGTGCTGGTGAGCAGACAAGAAACAGAGGGGAGGGGCAAAGAACGAGAGGGCTAAGGAATCCATAGATTATTGTCATCACCTGCTTTCGTGATTAAAAGGGAGTTTATCTTTAAAACTACTTCAGGCCCCACGCAGAAAGAAGCCAGATTCTGAAGCATCATTGCATCTCACCTCCTATTAAGTTGAGAAAGCTGCCTTCGGATCAGATATCTGAGCTTTGTGACGATCCTGCCCGACAAACCTAGAATCCAGCAATCAGAAATGTTGAAGGCTAGGATGTTGCACCCCTTATTTTTACCCAGGCTTGCTGGGCGCCTGCTCCCTCAGCCTTGCAGGACCTGCTAAAGGGTGAAACATGTCTGTAGGTCAATTGATGATCCACTAGGGAGTGTCCCCAGAGAAAAGTAAGGGCCCTGAGGGCCCCCCTGTTGGCCTTTCCTGCCCCAGCCCAGTGAAAGGAACACAGTTGACATGTTGTTTAAGCTGGAGATGTTGCCTGTATGCGTAAAAGAGCTCTCTGTTTCAGGCTCATGTACAGTCAGGAATGGTTCCTTCTCATCCAACTGCCCATGCGCCAATGATGCTAATGACGACACAGCCACCCGGCGGTCCCCAGGCCGCCCTCGCTCAAAGTGCACTACAGCCCATTCCAGTCTCGACAACAGCGCATTTCCCCTATATGACGCACCCTTCAGGTGAGGCGTGTGTGTGCAGGGGCCGCCGGGCACCCCAAAGCATTCTGCTCGCACAGGTCGAATGGCAGGCAGGGCCAGCGCTTCAAGCCCCGCATTTGAGAACTAGCAAGACCCGTCAGAGTGTGCACAGTAGGGACTGTGATGATCAGTTCAGTGTCAGGGCTGAGGCTTCCAGGAGCCGAGTCTGTGTGTGTTCTGATGGTATACAGGATTTGACTTGATGAGAAGCAGCAGCATTCTGTGTGGCTGATGCATGCTTAGGACTCAGTTGGCCTTCCTTGTTACAGTAGGCTGGACAGGGCAGCGTTTTCCTTCCTTAGTCCCCGCCCCGCGCCCCCCCCTCCCCCGCCCCCAGTCTGACGGGGGTGGTTACCACCATGGCAGAGTTTGACTGTAGCTCTGGAGAAGACTACTGATGAGAAAGTGTGCTGTGCGTGGATTGGTTTTGAGTGTAGCCTTAGCTCCAGCCTCTGCCCTGACAGGAAGAGAAGTCCCTGCGATTGTGCTCTCACACTTGATGGCTGCCATGGCGGTAGTTCACAGTCTGACCTGTTACTCTGAAAGCAGTACTGGTGCTTGGCTGGTATCTGGGGAGGGGGTATGTTAAGGCCTTTTTTCCTACCCCATGAGCAACAAGTCTTCTGGGAGTTTTATCCGAAGTGGTTTTACATCTGACTGGTTTGTTTCTACCCACCCACCTACCCCTCCCCCTTTTGGTGCAGATGGGAGGGGGAAGAGTGAATTAAATTTTGAGTCTGTTCAGCTAGCACAAGGGTAGTTTACAGTCATGTGCTGCAGAGACACTAGGCTAATGTGCGGTGTTGCCAGTTTTCTGTTTAAATATCCACTTTTCTTTCTTACAGTACAAGCCCACCACCAACAGCAGTTGTAAGGCTGCCCTGGAGGAACCGAAAGGCCAAATTCCCTCCTCCCTTCTACTGCTTCTACCAACTGGAAGCACAGAAAACTAGAATTTCATTTATTTTGTTTTTTAAAAATATATGTTGATTTCTTGTAACATCCAATAGGAATGCTAACAGTTCACTTGCAGTGGAAGATATTTGGACCGAGTAGAGGCATTTAGGAACTTGTGGGCTGTTCCATAATTCCATATGCTGTTTCAGAGCCCCGCAAGTACCCCAGCTCTGCTTGCTGAAACTGGAAGTTATTTATTTTTTAATGACCCTCGAAAGTCATGAACACATCAGCTAGCAAAAGAAGTAACAAGAGTGATTCTTGCTGCTATTACTGCTAAAAAAAAAAAAAAAAAAAAAAAATCAAGACTTGGAACGCCCTTTTACTAAACTTGACAAAGGTTCAGTAAATTCTTACCGTCAAAATGACGGGTTATTATTTATAAATCAAGTTTGATGGAGTGATCACTGTCTACAGTGGTTCAACTTTTAAGTTAAGGGAAAAACTTTTACTTTGTAGATAATATAAAATAAAAACTTAAAAAAAATTAAAAAATAAAAAAAGTTTTAAAAACTGATACCAAGTTAGTCTGTGTTTGTATAAGCTTAAGATATTTCTGTTATAGGATACTTCGTATCAAGGCAGGAGGGCTGAGTGTGCTTTCTTAAACATCCTGGAAAGTTAGTTGTCAAATGACTTTTCTTCTTCACCTTTAGTTCTGGTTCAAGGTATCTCTAGAAAAAGACAAGACTGAGCCATTCTCTTTGGTGGATAAAGGTCCGCTCCAGAAGGAGGAAGGCTGGCCAGAGCTGGGCAGCACTGAGATCCCACATCCTCAGCCTGACGCTGGTTCTGTAAGCTTCCTTTTTAATATCTCCTGAACCCAGATGAGTGTTGTTAGTCAGAAGTTGTCCTGATTCACACACCTGTTTTACCAGTAGGGGGCAGGAGACACCTTTTAAAAAGAAACTGATAAATCCAGAGGGCTGAAAAGCTAAAACAATGCAGTGATGTACAAAGTAGCTTATTGCCGTAGACTCAGCATTGCTCATGTTCCCCCTTTGTGGGGGGACAGAGGGAAAAGCAAGTAATTGAGCAGAGCAAGGATTTTGCAGAGACCATAGTCCTGTAATGATAGAGCCTTTAAATATTGCAGCAACAAGTCAAGATTCTGAAAACTTTTTTTTTAATTCATGTGTAGCAATTTGTACATTATAGCAAAATTTGCATTATTCAAGAATAAGTTACTTGTACAGTACATAATACATAAAAATTTGCCAAATACCTTCTGCCTATAATGATATAGAATGGATCCATTTACACTGTTGTCATTACAGTGTGCTGCTTATTCCAGCCAAACACTGGGTGTCAGATGTGTCCTTGTTAAGAGGCAGTGGATAATATACTATCAAGTTCCTCAAGCCTGTGGGAGATGTTAGAGCTCACATGACATTTGCGATAGGAGACACAGCCCTGAATTAAAAGCATGAAGGAATCTCAGGCAACACTTAGGGAAGAGTTCAAGGCCTTGATTTTAGGTTAAGAAACTGTTATGTAAAAATAGTGTTCTCTGGCCTAAGATTTTAATGATTGCTATTCCTTTTTCCTACACGGTCCAGAAATGATCAAAGGCAGAAGATTTATACCAGATAAAGCCATATGGATTGCTGGTCTAAAATTCAAGGCAGGTTAGTTGACTTAATTCTTTGGTGCTGGTGACTGTTAGTTTGTAAAAGTTCATTCAAGACAGAAGGAAGTGATGGTGCTGGGAGCAGTCAAGCTATCCTTGTTGTCTGTCACTAGAGATAACTGGAGGGATCACAGTGCTTACTATCCATTTGGCACTCAGAGCCTGGCCTCTCAGTGGAGGCTGTTGGCTTGGCTTCTTGCTGTCAGCAGCGGTCACACTGGGGTCAGGAGGGTGGTGTGGGGTATGCTGTGACCGTGCGTGATGAGCTTTCTCTAAGAGAAATCCAGAACAGTGCTTACTTCTCTGGTTCACACTTCACTTAGCATTCATTACGTAGAGAAACCTGATTGATGTGTAGAAAAATGAAGGAAAGAAGTGTCCTTAGAAAAAGACCACAAATCTGGATCGGATCTGCTTTACAATCTATGAAAACACCCAGGAGCATTGGTTTTTAAAGTGGTGAAGAGGTGACTGCTTGCCCCCTCCACCTTCCCCCCCCCCCAAAAAAAAACCCCAGAAAATTCTAGAAGCAAAAGTCTGACCTCTGGGAATACAGAGAATGGCTGGAGGGTGCAAACCAAACCCTCACCCCAGATAAGGCAGGCAGTAGTTAGTTTTAGGCCAGGGTTTAAAGTTAGCCTGATTGATGTATCTATAAATGATAAACTGTGCTAAACTCCCAGTTTCCTAGAAGCCACTTTGGTGAGCCTGGTGGCTCTACTGAAAGGCTCTGCTGGCACCCAGGAGCAGCTGGCTCCACTCTGTCACTGCCCCCCTTGTTTTGGAGCCTCTGCAGGAAAGTTCTGGGAGGAGCCAGCTCCCCTGTGAATTGTATTACTGGTGAAAGGCAAGTACAGATGGAGATTTGACTGCAGGATCCCTGGCCGGTGGAGACGATGTGTGCCCGTGTGTACGTGCGCTCATATTCCTCACCAAGTGAAGTAGTAAGCAGCTGGAACAGAACACTGATTGATTGTGGGCTGTTAGAGTTTCTCATTAGCTGTGGCACCAGATTCCTAGCTCCTATCTTGGCTCAAGAATGAGCCTAAAACCTTGTGGGATAGTTTATAAGCCATTAGATGCCCCTGCGGGGCGGGGGGGGGGGGGTGCTCTGAGCCAGCCCTGTTGGTGAAGGATTTACCAGAAGAAAGGGCCCAGGAGCCCTTCCTCCCTTTTTTGCTTGTCCCTCCCTCACCCTTTAAACTAGTTTAACTCTCACCAGAAAGCGGCTATAAACCAGAATCCAGTTTTTTATTCATAAGGCACCAGGGTAGAACTATTCCTTGCCACCCTCCTATTTCAGTAATTGCCTGAATTTCCCTGAAAGGGTGACATACTTCACTTCTCTACATTTAGGAAGGACAGTGGCTACTCAGCAGGTGACTGTCCTGAGGATGAAAAAAACATGGAAGCCAGGCATGCTGGCTCAGACCCGGAACTAGTCAAGTAGGGTTTGCATAGCTATTAAAGAGTGCAATGAAATAAGCAATAATTGAGTTTCAAAACCTGAATCCTTTGAAAAATTAATCTGAGGTAAAATGTTTAAAACAATTTTTAACTTTGAGCTTTGTCCTAAAGCTGTGAGGCAAAGCAGGGGTGGTGTGTTCATCTCCGGCGTGGGTGCCGGCAGACCTGCCGCGTGGACTGGCAAACCATGTGAGAATCCAGGGCTTGTTAGTGTTTTGGGCTTCCTGACGACCCCCCCCCCCCGAAAGTCTGCCATCAGCTGTGACAGTGTCAGTGAGAAAGAGAACCCAGGTTCCGCCACCAGCTCTGGCCCTCACCCCACCATGTCCTGTAAGAGGGATGGGGACCGGTCCTGGGGACTCGGGGCGAGAATTAGTGGCGTCTGCGAACAAGAACTACATCTGTAAACAATAAGGAGAAAGCCAATCGATGGACTGATGAAACATACAGGAGGCCCTTTAACAGGCCTATTAGAAGGGTCACATCCAAACTGGAATGAGCAGTTAGAAATCTCTCTCTGGAAGGAAGGAAAGAAAGTTACATTCACAAGTTCACATCTCTGCTTGCTTGTGTTCCTCGGGGGCATGTGTGAGGCCTGGGATTCCTCACTGCCCGTCAGAGAGGTGTGTACTGATTGTCTATGGCCCGTAGATGGCTCCGGGAGGAGGAGTCCATTTCGTAGTCTGAGTCCCGGGCTCGACTGGCAGGTTCAGGCTCCAGGTGCCGCAGGCTGTTGGCCAGTTCCTCGGGCGAAGGCACCAGGTGGAATATCTGCTCTGGGGGAGAGGATCGGCCGGGGAGACCCTCTGGGCCAAGCCCCCGCGGACAGCCAGAAGAGCTAAGGTGGGGAAGGCCCAGCTCCGAATCCCAGTGAGCGAGGGAGAAGGGGAACAGGACAGTGTTGGAGGAACCTGGGGGACAAGTGACCGAGAGAGAGACCGACATGGTCAGTCTTAACGTGACAGGGGGGCGGATGTTGGAAGAACACAAAAACAGATCTCTGTGCCCCTGGGTTTGCAGCAGGCTTTTACCCTCTGCCTGGTTCCCTGTGCCACCCACCCCCTTTACCAAGGGTCACACCTGGTGGCTGGGAGACCACTACCACGTAGCTGGACAAGCGGACGTCACAGGCAGCACCGCACTCGAGCGGGATGGGGGAGCGCTGGAAGTGGCGTAGCATGTCCACGACGGAGGGGAAGTGGAGATGCTGCACTCGGCACTGGCCCCGCTCGGTCAGCGACAGGCGTAGGTGCTACAGGAGGAGAGGAGGCTCAGCCACTGGCCACTGAGGGCCTTGAACTTGGGGTTGTGGGGGCGGGGGCCAGCCCCACCTACCATGCCCTGTACCTTGGCTATGCCTTGGAAGTTGAATGTGAGCACATACTCTCCACGCCGTGTCTCACTCTGCCGTACCAGGAACACTCCGTGAGCGTCAGGACCCTGCAGCTGAACCAGCTGGGCTGCCTTCACCCGGGAGATGGGGCCATGGAACCAGGGGTAGCAGGACAGGAAGTGATCTGTTTTCTGACAGGCGGGGTCCAGCAACCCCCCAGGAGAAGCACCTGGTAGACAAGATCAGTGGTGGTGACCCCCCTGTGGGTACCTTACGTCCTGGGCTGAAGCTGGTTCTGCCTTACACAGAGGACAGAGCCCTGGACCCACTCACCTTGGTTCAGGGAATCTGTGCTTCCCCTCGGAGAGTTGGATGTGCCAGGCTCTAGGGCTGAGGGAATATGTGTCTCTGGGTCTGTGCTCTCCAACCTGCTGAAGAGGCTGAGGTTAGGATCTGGGTAGAGCAGGGGAGTAGGAAAAGCTGGGCCAGGAGTGGGGCCCTATGGTCTGGGGCCTCACCCTTGGCCTGTGCACTCCCGGAGCTCAGCCATCCAGGAGTTCAGCTGCTGCTCGTCCCCCACCTCGAAGATGATGTCCGTCCGGTCCTTCACCTGGCAGGGAGGGAGGGAGTGGCTATGTGCGTGCCTTCGCTGTGTGGGTGTGACCCCCGGGGGGGAGAAGCTGTCACTCACCTTCAGGACAAAGGTGTAGAGGTTGTCTGGCATCTCGAGGCGTGTGCATCGCCGGACCTCCTGGATATTGGAGCAGGCTGCTTGTAGCTTGGGCTTTGAACTCTAGGAGACCAAGGGGGGGGGGCACTTGCGGCTTGTCCCTCATGGCCCTTCACCCACCCAGGCCTCTCTTTTTCTGCAGTCTCCCCAAGGGCTTAGCTGGGTGAGTGAGTGCTCATGGTGCTGCCAAGCAGGCTCCCCAAGCCTGGAACAAGGTCTGGCATTCTGGCTTGCTGGAGCCTTGCCGAGGGCCCTTCTCCTGTAGCCTCTAAGCACCATTCCCACACCCTACACACTGAGATCCTCCAAAACCTATGTTAGCTGAGGGCCAACCCCTCTTTACCTGAGCCTGTCTCTGACAGGTTTTTGCCTGCTGACATCTGTTTCTCCTTCCACTGGTGGAGCAGAGAGGCCCCCCCCCCGCCGCCCAACCCAGCCAGGTCACACAGCTGCTGACCCCCTCATCAAAAGAAGCCTGGAGAGGACTTGAGGGTATCCAACCCAAGTCACGTTTCCCTCTGTGGCGCTGACTGTGCCAGGGGGCCCAGGCCTTTGTCCTACCTTTAGTTTCTACCCCACCCCCCATCAGTTCCTCATTAGCGCAGGCCTCTCCTGACCTAACATCAGCTGTAGGAAACAGATACTCTCACCACATCTCAAAGAGATGAAACTCAAATTTTGGAGGTGAAGTCCTTTGCCTGAGGGAGGGTAGATGAGGTTTTTCCCTCTGACCACAGTATACAGCCTAGAACCTCAAACTGCCACACCTAACTAATCTGCCTGTCTTCAAGTCTGAGGGTAAGGAGGGGTGGATTTGGCTGCAGGGTGGAGGTTGGCAGAGTAGCTTAGCCACAGGCTCTTGGGGCTTCTGCCAACATCCCTAAAGGGACAAGCCCTGGTAGGGCTGGCCCCAGTCAGAACCAGCTGGAAACCTACACAAAACCTTGGACCCAGGAGTCTCCTGTGACATCCAACATACACGAGGTTCAGAGTGCATGGGAAGTGGTCCCCTGCCCCTTTGCCAGCAAGGGCTCCTCTCCTGGGTCCTGACTAAACCTGGCTAAAGCAGGGGCTGACCTTGCAGATGCCTGTTCCCGAAGAGCAGGAAGCTCTGGGGCACCCTATAACATAGGAGCCAGCAGCTCGAGGGCAACAGTTTCTCAGAAAGGAGGTCTCCCTTCTACTGCCCACCCCCATCTCTTCCTCTTCCTCTTGTGATAAGGGTGATAAGATTGTTTCTCCCGGGGTCATGAGATAATCAAGGGCTGCTTCCAGCAGGGGCCAGAAGCAGGTAAGAACAGCAGGAGCCAGAGATGATGGGGGAATGAAAAGGGAGGCTCGACTGGGCCCCATCTCTCTAGTACCTCTCTCTTCCCAAGGACCAGCCCGACCAAGCCAACATAGGGCAGGGGCAGAGGGATGGAAACAAGGCAGGCCCAAAGGCTAGTTCCTGGCGCTGCGGCTTTGGGGGAATCTGACCTCCACATCTTGGGCAGAAGCTACCTTTTCAAGAAGTGGTACAAGAGCCCATCCCCAAAGCCACGTGTGTAACTGCTAGGGACACGCAGGCACCAGGTGTGTCTGATAGAAGGATGGTGACCCTAGGGCCAGGCCACCTGCCTTCAGCTACTCCCTACCTGCAGGAGGGCTGGTGAACAGGGAGGGAAGGGGCAGCCTGGCAGGAGAGGGTCGGCCAAACTGGGGGTTCTTCCCAGTCCAGGCTTCCCCCTGCCCCCAGCAGTCCGGAGGGAATAACAACTCCAGGAACCCCTGACGTTTGCCGTGGCGGACTGCCTCGTCTCACTAACGCGGTAAAGGAGGGAGCAAGCTCAGAGAGGTGGCCAGTCCGTTCCAGCTCTAAGTGACCACCAGCCAGGGGGTTTTATCTTTCAGGTTTGTCTTATGTGTCCCCCATATCCCACCTTCTTAGCCTGGGAGCCCGTGAGATGTGGGGCGCAGTACTGAATGACATGGGCCCTGGGCGTGCTGGAGTGCGCATGGCTCAGCTCTCAGAGCCCGTTGCCCTTCTGCAAAATGGGTAAGGTACGTGGGCCGTTTCCTTCCTTCTGCTTTTGCAGTTGGCGCTGCCTGGCCCGCAAGTCTCCCCACTGGCTCTGGGCCCTCAGGATCACTGGGAGGAAGTAGGCCAGGCCAAGAGGGAACAGAACGAGTCTCCCTTTCCTCCCTTTCCGCTCTGGGCCCTGGCCCCAGGGTGAATGCTGAGACGAACGAGCAGAGCCACCGGCTTCACTCTGACTGCGGGGCCTCCCTGCCTGCGCTCTCCCCAGCAGCTCAGGGACTGCTGGCCCAGCAGGCGGTGGTGAAGAGGCTTCCCCTCTCCCCCCTCGGCCGCCCCGGCTTGCACGGGTGCCGCCTCCCGTCTGCCCCCCTGGCTAAGCGGACACAGGTTCTAGCTGACTCCTCTCAGGCAGCTGCCCCAGCCAGCCCAGTTGTCTCCCCCTGTTGCTGCCCAGCTAGGGGCACAGCCGGGATCTGAACCCCAGAGCTGGTGTGACCAACTACTGTGCTGATGGTGGAGAGAGGCCAGAGGCTCTGCCCAGACTGGAGGGGCGAGTGAGCACATGCGGCAGGATAAACCCTGCCTGTGGCCACAGCCCTAGCTGGATGGTCCAGAGCAGGACTCGAGAGCACTGGTCACATGTGGAAGGACCAATGCATGCCTTCCTGGTTGAGCAATGTAGTGGGACAGAACTGGGATGGAGAGCTGAGCCCAAACTCTGGGGCTGGATCAGCAGCTACAGGAACATTAGGGAACTCCAGGTTCCCCTCTCTAGCATGCTCTCTATCCCACCTGTTCTCTGGACCTACCTGAGAGTCACACCTGAGTGACTGAAATGGCCAAAGCACTCCAGATAATGTGGTGTAAGCAAATAGCATGTCACTCACTATATCCCCTCCTGGGAAGCAAGTTTCGGCGCCCAGCATCCACAAAGCTAGCTGCCTTCCTATGGCCGCTGTGACTCCAGGGGGAATAACCTATTTCTTCTTTGCCCTAGCTGCTAGGAAGGTCAAAGGCAAAGATGCAGATCAGCTCTGACACTGTCTTCCCACCCCCCCCAAGTAGGGCTTGCATTTCTATACCTGACTTTAGGCTCTATACTTCTCTTATCCCTCTAGATGTTAGTGTTCAGTCTTGTCTCTGCCACTTCCTCTATAACCCTGGCCAAGTGGCTCAGTCCTCCGTCAGCGCTGTCATCTATAAAGCAGAGATATTTAATAGTCGCTCTCTCCTTGCATGGGTGCTATGGTGACAGGGTGAACTACTGCAAGTGGGGAAAAAAAAAAAGCGGCCTGACAAACAGCTGTTGTTAAATTTCTAGGCTGCGGTGAGGCCAGCCAAGTTGGGTAAAGCCTGGGGTCCACTGTGGTTACAGTACAACAGCTTCCCCTCCAAATGGCCCAGGGACTGGACACACACGTGTCTTCTTTCAGCCCATCCTGCAGTGAAATCCACATGTCGTCTAACCTACCTATATATGTGCCCTAATGAAAGTAAGGGAAAAACAACAGAATGTAGTTTATATTAAGTTGTATTTCAGGGGCACCTGGGTGGCTCAGTCAGTTAAGCATCTTCTGCCTTCGGCTCAGGTCACGATCACGATCCCCAGGTCCTGGGATCCAGCCCTGAATTGGGCTCCCTGCTCAGCAGGGAGTCTGCTTCTCCCTCTCCTCCTCCCTGCTCTGCTCGTGCTCACTCACTAATAAATAAAAATCTTTTTTTACAAATGTATTTCAACGTGACTATGCAGATGACACAATGAACCACTCAGGTGCTTCTGAGTTTGTTTTAAAAGATCGAGAACATAAAGGAGCCAGAGAGCAGGGTAAGCCCTAAGAGAACAATTAGTCTTTTCAGTGGACATTAAAACTGGGCAGAAAGTTCCATGTGTACCAGACTGTACCATTCTGGCTCTAGGTTTGTCATCTCTTTTAGAGGGTGGCATGGACATCTCTGCCTCAACCTATGGGTTTACCTGGGCCTCCCCGACCCCCACTGACCCACGGGTCCCCTTGCCCCCACTGGTGGGGCTTTGGGCTTCAAATCTGCCTAGGGGGATTGAGTCTGACAACTGGAACCAGACCTCTCTCTCTCAGTCTTGTTTTTCCTCATGTTGTCACCTAGAAATTGTCCCATGACCTGCTGCTGTTCCCCATGTGCTAAGTTAGAGCAGGGCCACAAGCATGGGCTGAGGGCAGGGATGGCCCTTCCAGAGTCTCCCAAGGTAACAGGCTATATCCCACTTCACCATGTCCTCACAAGCACCTTGAATGGGGCCTATCACCATTCGTTCCTTCAAGACCCCAGCAGAGGGACTAGCCAAGCCCTCCCGGAACTCCAGGTGCCAATGCCCCAGCGGAAACAAGATACACAGTCCCGGACTCACGTACAGTTTCCATTGTAACGAGGGAGACAGATGCCCGACAGGAAGGAGACAGGAAGGACCCAGACAGGCAGGTGGGGGAAGCTGTGAAGAGCCACAGAAACAATGTGGCTTCCCAGGCACCAGGATGGCCCTTGCAAAGGCGCTGAGGTGGGAAAGCACATGAGCACCTGAGGAGGCTGATGGGACTCCTGTACCCAGCGAGGGGGTTACAGTAGGGCGCTGGAAGTCCCCGTGTGGTCCTGAGGCTGTGGGGGTCAGTTTGGGCTTGTTCTAAGGCAGAGATGTGGAAAGGGCACCTGATGTACACTTCAGAAGCTCCAGGGAGCTTATGCTAAATACCTCGACAGCGGCATACCTGCTAGTTGGGCCAGACCAGCACTTAATTCACACCCAAGTAGCGAAGGGCCTGGCACAGAGGGCCCAGTGGTGTGGGCAGGGCAGGCCCTCACAATGGCCTTACTCCATCCACGGCATCCCACCTGGCCACTGGAGAAGCCCTCATCCAGTGAAAGCCTCGAGGAGCGGCATCTCACCATCTGGAATGCTCCAGACCCCAGCAGCCCCCCTGGCAGTCTTGTCTCTCCCAGGGCTTTGGGCCCTCACTCCTCTCCTACAAAGAACAGCAGTGGGACAGGAAGTAGGAGACGGTGTACAGTTGGAGGTCTAGGTCCAAGCCACATGCTTCTGCCCCCACACCCGTGCCCTCTAGGCAGCATCTCAGTGGCTCGAGGTGGTTGGATGAGTCCTAGCTCCACCACTTAATACCTCTGGAATCTTGGGCACGGCACTAACCACAGCCTCAGTTTCCTCTTTGGTGACATGGGGACAGTAAATCTTGCTGACCTCCCAGGAATAGAGGGAGGATGGGAGGTGGTCTTGGATGAGGGCTTGAAAACTTAAAAGACTCAGAGCAAATTCCAGATCCTAGTCCTAGATGATTGAGTTCCCCCCCCCCACCCCGCCCCATTCCCACCCAGAGCCTGGAATGGGTGCTGCTGGGATGAATGAATGAATGAAGGATGAAGCATCACTGTGGAAAATGCTCAATCAAGTCTTACTGATGGGTATCAAAATGCCAGCCTACGTACAAGAAAAAGAAAATACCCTGACTTGTTTCCCCCCACACACCTCCATAAAAAAATTATAGGGATCTCTGAGCGGGAGGGAGACAAGTGCTAGAACACAGAGCAGAGTTCTATTTGCTGCATACCTCTCTCTGAGCTACCTGGTGGCCAGTGCAAAGAGGAACTCTCCCAAGAGCGGGCAGCCTCTTGTGCGTGGGGAACCCTACACACCGTCCACAGAAGGCTCTGAGAAGTGCCGGAGCAGAGAAACCTGTTCCTGTGACTGCAGCCACCCAGTGTCCTACTTGGAAACCTCTCTGGGGCCTGCGTAACTGCCACACTGCAACCTTCCCATTCCGGGGCTTGGCAGTCCCGGCCTTCAGTCGTAACTCGGCCTCGTCTTCTATGGACAGACAGGTAACACCTGTCCGGCTTGTCTTCACTTTGATAAGACCTAACAATGCCACTACCCTCCCGTGAGGATCTGGTGATAGGGTGTGTGCAGAGGTGCTTCCGGTGGGTATGGAAAGGTCCTGGAGGATGAATGCAAGCCTTAGGAAGAGCCAATCTGCTCAGAAGCAAAAGGCCCCTCTCTGCAGAAGCTTTCTTCCTTGTCCCCCCCGCCCCCCCTCCCACTGCAGTCAGCCCGCACAGCTGTCCCCCCACTTTACACCGTGAGCTCCGGAAGTCCTCCCTTCTCTCTTTCCACCTTTGCCTTCAGCAGGGCACAGAGTAAGTGGCTCTAAGTGTTTGCTGAACACCCCAAAGTGGAAAAAGAGAGAAGGAAAGGCGCTGGAGGCTTAAGAGCACAGCAAGAGCCACGGCTCAGAGGCCAGAAGGTACAGCCAAGTCCAGGAGATGGCAGGGGAGTGGGCTGGGGCTAGAAACGCTGACAGACGCCCCTTCAGGAGCACCTGTCCGGCACTGCGGCCTGGGCCGTCCATCAGTGGCTTCTGGACTGTTGACTTCATAAGCCACCACCGTTTAAAAATGTTTTCCAATTTCATGGAAAAGAGCATCATACCGAAGAGGTGCCAGGACCAAGGAAGCAGGAAGGTCATTGTCCCAGTGTAAGGGACAACCCTTAGTATTAAGTATGGTGATACTCTGGTGGGAAGACCCTCACCACCCTGCTCTGGGCCATCTGTCTGCCATGAGGAACAGTGGTGGGGGCCTTCCATGCCCCTCCAGCCACCCAGAGGCGGTGCCAAGGCTAAGAAAACCTCCCAGGGGTGCTGATCACAAGTCCAGCCTGGACCCTCTGCAAGTGAGCCTGAGGTCTGTATTTTAACCCGAGCCCCACCCGCCCCACCCCCCGCCCCACAGGCACTGGGTGCAGTCCATCCCACAGAGGCAGAATGGTGGATGCTGGGGGCATGGAATCTGGAGCCAGGCAGCTGCTGGGGGCAGAGGGGGTGCTCCCAGGGAAGCCCCACTACAGAGTGAGGGCCCAGAAAACAGGGTGACCTCCTGAGCTCCCAAGAGGTGGGCAGCATTGAAACAGAGCTGCCATCTACCAGTCCTTCCTGGGCTACTCCCCACCTGTCCTCTGCTCAGCATTCTGTCTGTGGGCCTCATCTCGCTGCCAAGAGGAACCCAAGTCCTCACCATGGTCCTTGCAGGACCCTACAGCACCTAGTCCTAATTACCTCCCGGGCCTCATCTACTCCCAGTCTGAGTGCAGCCCTGGCCTCCGCCCTTCCTTAAGCGTACCAAGCACACTCCCACCTCGGGCCTCCGCACCTGCCGTTCCCTCTGGAAGGCAGCCCCCCACGGCTTCACAAATCTAGCTCTTCGCAGATTTGGGTAGTGTCTAAATTCACAGTCACCATCACATAAACCCCTTTACTTCTTTCCCTGCTTTTGTCAACCTGTGAAACAGGCTCCGTGGGGACTTGGTTTGTTCACGCAGCACGGTCCTGGCAGATGGTATTCCGATGAGCTTTCTGCGTGCCGGGCATCCCTGCGTGCTGGGGACCGGTGGGGCACAGGGCGTGGCCCCCACTGCGGACCCCCACGCAAGTGAGGGCTCTGGAGGAGGCACTTTGGGGTCGGGGGAGGAATGGAGGACAGGCAGTCGGGGATGTGAGCCGGGCCCCCCAGGGTTCCAGCTGGCTGGGGGAGAGGACTGGCTGAAAGCAAGACTCCTGACCCTCCACCTCAGCACTTTAACCCCCTGCCAGGCCTGTGTGTGCGGGATGCGGTGCCCGATCCCGACTGTGGCCTCAGCAGGGGAAGCCTCCCCTCCTCCAGGGAGCCTGCTCTGGTCACTCAGAGGTGGTTAGTGCAATTCCTGTGCCTCTCCCTCGGCATGGGTCTTATCAGGCCTGGCCATAATTTCCTGATGAGGCAGCTGCCCCCACCGTCCGACTGGGAGTTCCTCTGGGGGTGGGGACAGGGCACCAAACCTTGTTCCGAGGGGTGCCCAGCAGCGGGTCCGGCCCAGAGGACATGCTTGGGGTGGGTGCCGGGGGCCCCAGCCCTCAGATGTGGGGGAGCAGAGGCAGATGTGGGGTGTGGTGAGTTACCTCCCCCCCCGTCTTGTTCCCTGGCTCCTTTGGGGGCAAACTGAAGGCAGTGAGTCTGTTCCAGGGACTGAACAAATGTTGGAACTATAGACCACAGGTCACTTCCTTCCTTGGGCCCCAACCCCTGCTCCACAGGCCCTTCAAATGCCTGCTTCTGCCCCTTCTCTCTGGCGTGACCCGGGATAAATCACTTCACTTTCCTGTGCTTTTGTTTCCTTCTCTGTAAAATGGGATGATAATGGAACCCACCCCCTGGGGCTTCTGAAAGCAGACCTGCCTGTTGCCCGAGTACACTGGAGTCCCCCAGACTCACCCAGTTCACTATGAGCTGGATCTCCCCCTTGGTCTGGCCCCTTTGCCTTATGTCCCCTCTCAGGGGAACAGGAAAGGGATGAGAGATGCTTCTGGAAAAGCCACATGGATCAAGTCAGCTTCCCCCCTTCCCTGGCAAGCAAGAGCCCCCCGGAGCCCCAGAAAGGGAGACCCCCCAGATAAAACAGTCCTGCTTAGAGACAGAGTCCCTATCATCTGCTCTCCCCTTCTCCACTCTTGGACCATCAGAGGCCCCAAGGAGGCCCTATAGTGTAGGCGATTAGCCAGAGATGCTGAGACAGGGCCTGGGGGCCTGTCTAAAGCCCCACCTGCAGTGAGCTCCCCTTCATGCCCATAAGGGTCCCCCCACACGTCAGACTCACAGTGACATAGTCACAAAGCCCCCTCTCCCTACACACAGAATCACAGCAACAGGGACACAAAGCTCCTTTCAGATGCTAGAGCAACCTCCCCCTGACAAACACCCAGAGACAGAGACCCCCCATACAAAGAGAGACAGCCCCCCAACAAACAGAACCAGCCTGGGATCTCCCCGACACTCACTCGAGCCCCTCCTGAGATGCGGGTGCCCTGGTTCGCGCAGAGTGGCCGAGTGTGGCTGAACCGTCTGTGAGGACAGGCGTGAACTTCCACTCCAAGGCCCGCCCACGGGGGGGGGGGCCACACCCAAGTTTGGGGGGGCCATGGCTTAGGAGGGACCACTCCTGGAAGTGCCACACACCTCACACCCACTCGTGGGCATGACTGAACAGATGAACCAAGGAGCCAGTCTGCCGGCACCCTTACCAGCTGATCTGGCCCCCCCCACAGGGTGACAAGTCACCCCACCTGGCACCACCCAGGACAGAGCCTTACAGGGCCAGGAATGGAGGGAGCCAGTGCCCCCCACCCTTACTGGCCCGGCCGCATGCTAACGCCTCCCAGGCTTTCTGCCCTGCAGCCCTGTACTCAAGCTGCGCCCTCCCCGCAGCGCACCCGTTCCCAGCCGAAACCTTTGGCTCTCGCGCTGGCAGATTAGGAGCAACAACTGTCTGGACCCTGGAGCTGAGCCGCTGCGAAGAGTCAGCGGACGTCACAGGCAGTTCAGCAAACCACCTTCAATCATTTAACCTATGTCCGCCTGGCTGGCCGGGAACATTCTTGCGGACGGAAGTGGCCTCTTAGTCTGGGAGTGCTCGGCAGGCACCCAGCAAGCCCAGAGATGGTCCCGAGCAAGCGGGGTCAGGACGCAGCCAGAACCACCCCCCACCCCCGCCTGCCCCGGCGCCCGCTGCAAGCCAGCCGCGGCCAGCCCACACCTTGAGCGACCACATCCTGCTCCCGGAGTCCCCCCACCCCCCGGAATCGTCCCTGCCCCCACGTGGCCGCAGAGCCCCAAGGCCCATGCATCCCCCACCCTTGCCCCAGCCTACGTGGTCAAGACAGAAGGGGAAGCCGTGGCTCAGAGGCCACACCGCGTGTCCAGGTGTGCCCAAGCGTCAAAGCGGGCACTGCCCGCCTGGGCCTTCCCGCCACACGGGAGGGTGCGCTATGTGGACTTGGACACCCCCGCCCCCCCCCGAACACTGATGGGCCACCAGAGTCTGCAGGTGACCACCGTGAGTGTCCCCAGGCCCCAGGGGCTTGGATGAAGTGCCCACCGGGGGCCCTGCTGTGAAGCCAGAGCGGCCGGGGCAGCGCCTCGTCCCAGCAGCGTGGGCTTCAGCTGCGGCCACCGCTCCAGCCGAGGGTGGAAAGTGCTGTGGTTGAGAACTAACAGCCTCTGCCGGCGGCCGAGAGGGGGCTCATCACCACCGGGACCCACCGCCTGCCTTCGAAGAATGCTGATTCAGAAGAGGTGGAAGCGACAGTCTCTGGGGCGCGGGGGGCTGCAGGGGCGCCAGGAAGGACGGAGACAGGGCAAGAGCAAGACCCTGGCCACAGCTCAGCCACCACGGGGTGCCGGGGTGTTCCACCCTTCGGAGCTCAGCCGGGCCTACCGGCTGTTCTTACCCCAAGCCCGCGTTCAGTGAGCGCTCACCGTGTGATGCGTCTTCACACACAGCATCTCACGGACATCAAAAAACAACAGGAAATCACACCAGCCATAGAGAATAAAAACCGGATGGATTAAATAATTAGAAGTGAAAAATAAAACCAAGACAAAACTGGAATAGAACCTAAGTGATTATCTGATCCAGGGTGGGAGGGGCCTGAAGCAGAAAAAGCAAAGAACAAAACCGTAAGGGAAAAGATCACTGTATTTTTTTTTTTAAAGATTTTTATTTATTTATTTGACAGAGAGAGAGATAGCGAGAGCAGGAACACAAGCAGGGGGAGTGGGAGAGGGAGAAGCAGGCTTCCCGCCGAGCAGGGAGCCCGATGTGGGACTCGATCCCAGGACCATAAGAAAAAGACACGAAAAGAAGGCAGACACCTAACGACTGAGGCACCCAGGCGCCCAAGATCACTGTATTTTATTGCCCAGACTTAAAAACCTCCAGAGATGAAGAACCTCATGATAGAAATTGAAAAGTCAAATAACGAACTAGGACAATATTAGCAACATGTGAGAGAGAGCTAATATCCATGTAAAGAGCTCTTGCAAATCAACAAGAAAAAAGGCAGACAGTGCTATAAATGGCCTGTAAGTCACAAAAATGTATAGGACCAAAAAATGGAAGAGAAATGGCCCAAATCCATAGGGACAGAAAGTAGACTAGTGGTTGCCAGGGACTGGGGAGGCAGGTGGGGACAGGAATTGGGACTGACTGCTAATAGGTACAGGGTTTCTTCCTGGGGTGATGGAAATGTTCTGGAATTAGTAGTGATGGTTGCGCACACAGTGAATATACTAAAAGCCAATGAACTGCATTTTCCCGTGGTGAAATGTTACGTCATGTGAATTATAAATACTCAATGGTTTTTAAAGAGAGAAATGGTCAGTTCCACTGCGATCAGAAAGGGCAAGATAACCACTCCATCTAGAAGTTGGCAGAGGTTTTTAAAATAATAGCCAGGGCTGGCACCTCTGGTGATGAGAAAATAAGTGGGTATAACCTTTCTGGAAGGCTATTTGTAAAGGATCTACCAGAAGCATTAGAAATGGCTAGTTAAGCACATGAGAAAAATGCTCAGCATCATTAGCCATCAGGGAAATGCAAATCAAAACCATATGAGATAGCTCTTCACACCCACTAGGATGATTACAATCAAAAAGATAGATGACAAGAGTTGGCGAGGATGTGGAGAAGTTGGAGCCCTCACATGCTGCCGGTGGGAACATAAAACGGTGCAGCGGCCACAGAAAACAGTCTGGCAATAAAATGTTAAACTGAGAATTACCATATAACCCCGCGGCTCCACTCTTAGATATACACCCAAGAGAAAGGAAAACACGGATGTCCACACAGAAAGTCACACACGAGTGTTCACAGCAGCCCTGTACGCACGATAGCTGGGCCGCATGCCGGGAAGTGGGAGCGACGTCTGTCCACACGATGGAATATGACGAGTGAGGCACTGAAACCTGCCATGACACGGATGAACCTTGAAGACATGATGCCAAGTGCAAGGTGCCGGTCCTAAAAGACTGGCAAATTCTCTGATGCTACTTCTGTAAAAAGAACCGAATAGGCAAATGCATAGAGACTGAAGGCAAACCCGTGGCTGCCCAGGGTTGAGGGAGGGGAGAGGGGGGAGTGGCTGCTAATGGGTGCAAGGTCTCTTTCTGAGATGATGAAAGTGTTCTAAAATCAGATCACAGTGATCATTGCACAATTCTGTAAATATAGCAAAAGCCGCTGCTGTACGCTTTAAGTAAGTTCATTTTACATACTTGTAAACTATCTCAATAAAGCTCAGCGGGTGCCTGGGGGGCTCAGTCAGTTAAGGGTCTCCCTCTGGCTCAGGTCATGATCCCAGGGTCCTGGGATGGAGCCCCGTGTCCAAGGGCTCCCTGCTCCGCGGGAAGCCTGCTTCTCCCTCTGCCCCTCCCCCTGCTTGCGCTCTCTCCCTCACTCTCTCTCAAATAAATAAATGAAAAATCTTTTAAAAAAGAAAAAAATAAAGCTCAGAGAGCAAGAGGGCTGTAGAAGCACTCATAAAGCCTTCAACTCAGCACTTCCCTTTCTAGGAAATTAGCCTAAGGAAATGAGAGATGGGCACCAAGATTTATGTACGAGATGTTTGTCACGCAGCTATCTATTCGAGCAGGAAAGTGAGAAATGGCAGAATTAGGAGTCTGGATAATATTAAATACATCATGGCCTCTCTGTGTAAATGAAATATTGTGTAGCCAGTATAAAAAAGACATTCTGGGGCGCCTGGGTGGCTCAGTCGTTAAGCGTCTGCCTTCGGCTCAGGTCATGGTCCCAGGGTCCTGGGATCGAGCCCCGCGTCGGGCTCCCTGCTCCGCGGGAAGCCTGCTTCTCCCTCTCCCACTCCCCCTGCTTGTGTTCCCTCTCTCGCTGTGTCTCTTTCTGTCAAATAAAAAAAAAATTCAAAAAAAAAAAAAAAAGACATTCTTAGAAGATATTTCAGAAAAATGTCCAAGCCCTGTTAAGTGAAAAAAAGCAGGTCACAAAGCAGAATGAGGAATGTGCGTCTCCCCAGGGCTGGGGGTTTTGTCCTAAGGTGTCTGCCCGTATTTCCCACGCGCCTGGCACACAGAAGGGGCTCCAGACAGAAGTGCAGAACGAAGAATGAGCGAATGCTGAAGGAACTGCAATGTGGGGGAAAAGTTAGAGAGGAAATGCAAGAAGAAAGGTCACAAAGACTTGACCAAAATGGAAATGCTGGTTCTCTCTGGGCAGGGGGCTCGGAGGCGGTTTTCAGTCACTGCCCTGTAGTTTCTGCCATGAGCTTTATCGACAGAAAACGCAAAACCAAAACCATGAGGAGCTCAAAAGTGGAGGCTCTCGGTACATTAGAGTTTCCTAGATTACACGAAGATTTCAGACGAGACCAAGCAGGGCCCCTCGGTGCCGCCCTGGAGACTGGTTTCTCCGCTGCCGCTGGACTTGCAGCACCCCCGCCTCGGCCAGCGTCGGGACTCAGGTCAGGCAGGTCGTGGGAGGACCCCCCGCATCAGCCCCACGTGAGGGAGGCTCCAGAGGCCAGATGGCGGGTGCTGCTTCAATCGTTCCCCATGGACACTGTCACCTACTGGTTCCAGAGGCCGAGAGGTCTGCAGAGTCCATGGCCCGAGGAAAACAGTGGCCTGCTCCCCAGCGCAGAGGGGAGATAGGAAAGAGGGGTGTGGGGCCCCAAAAAGGAAGCTGAGGCGGCCCCTCCTGCCTTGGGGGTAGGAAGCTCCCCCTCCCCCCCCCCATCACCACTGAGGGCCAGCCGCTCAGAGCGCAGAGATCTCTTCTTGAGCATTTTGGTTTCCTTTTCCATTCACAAAGAAGTGGGTGGGGGATTTCCAGCCGCGGCTGCCTCGCCTGCTGGGGCTGTCAGCCGGTGCCCGGGTCGGGCTGCCGCAGGGGCCCACCTCTGGGATGTGGCAGCTTCCTACCCAGGAAGCCCCTTCTTCCACCTTCTCGGGTGGGAACACGTTGTGCCCTTGCTGAGCCGGCTTTTGACTCCAGTTACCCAAAAAATGCCACATACTGACATTCCGTTTTCCAGAATGGAAAACTGAGGCTCAGAAAGGCTAAGCTCTCGGCCCAAAGTCACATGTCAAGGACATGAAAGCCAAGATCTGA